TCCCTATTGTTCTGACCATCAGCTACTATGCCCCGGGCAACACCTTGCCACTTGCAACCCTACACCCCTCTCTCCTGTTGTTCCCACAACCTACACCCCACCGCCAACCGCCACGGACACATGGTCCCATCATATTGATTCCTGCATACGTGGAGCTGGGGGGCGGTTCTCTTCATTCACCCCCTCCAAATAATTGCCCACAGCTTCTGACCCTCCACCCAATCCTCCCCAGACACGTGTGCCCCCACTTCTTCCTTCCCCACCCCCTCCCTGCACCCCAATTCCCTCCTAGGCCCCTCCCCATCCCAATTACCCCCTCCCTCCATTTATCCCACTCCCTCCCTCATTCAGCCCCTTTATTCCACTCTCTTCCTCCCCCACGTACCCCATTCCCCTTCCTCATTCACCCTAAATCCCCCATGTCCCCCCCATTCACCCTCCTCCATAGGCCTTGTTTCCCCTCCCCCATTTACCCCATTCCCGTCTGCATGTGACCCTGTTTACCCCTTCCCCACCATTTACCCATCTTTCCGGGAATCCCGGTACCCCATGATGTCACTGTCACCCCCTCACCCCCTTCCCCTCCCACCCCATCCCCCTATTCCCCTCCATCCTCTTTCCCGCTTCCCCTCCCCCACTCACCCCCACCCCTTTCTCCATTCACCCCTCCATCCTCTTTCCCCCCGTCACCCCAACCCCTTTCCCCGTTCACCCCCTCCCCCACTAACCCCCTCCATCCTCTTCCCCCTCAGTCACCCAACCCTTTCCCCATTCACACCTCCCCCACTCACCCCTCCATCCTCTTCCCCCCCCACTCCTTTCCTCATTCACCCCTCCCCCACTCACCCCCTCCATCCTCTTCCCCCCAACTCACCCCCACACCTTTCCTCATTCACCTCCTCCCCCACTCATCCCCTCCATCCTCTTCCCCCCACTCACCCCCATCCCTTTCCTCATTCACCCCCCCACTCACCCCCCTCCATCCTCTTTTCCCCCACTGACCCCCCTCCATCCTCTTTTCCCCTTCCCCTCACCCACTCACCCCACCCCTTTCCTCATTCACCCCTCCCCCACTCATCCCCTCCATCCTCTTTTCCCCCTTCCCCTCCCCCACTCACCCCCACCCTTCCCCCACAGGCAGGGGAGGGGCGAAGGGAGGGGGAGAGGGGGAAGGCGCGAGACGCACCGTCTCCGGCACGAGGCGCCCCTGGGCAGGGGAGGGGGGAGCGGGCGCGTGCTCCCCGAGCTGTTGCGAGCTCGAGACTCATTGGTCCGGCCGCGGCTCCCCTCTCCCGGCCCCCCCGCACCGTCTGAGCGCAAAGCCTCATGGGAGTTGTAGTCTTCCATGGACTCTGTAGGGGAGAGGGGCTCAGGGACTCGCTTCAGGCAGCCATTTTGCCAGCCCTGTGAAATAGGGGGGGAGGGGGGAGGGGCCCCTTACACTCCCAGCCCCCCCCCCTCCACACACACACACACACAGGGCCTGTTACTGCATCTGGCGCACTACCCCCTTTCCACGCAGCGCCACCGTAAGGGGGGAGGGGCACAACAAGCCAACTCACGCCAAGGGGGCAGCCCAAGATGGCTGCCAGCCGGCGCCAATTCACTCCCCACGCAGCATGGCTGACAACCAACATGGCCAGATGGTTCAGCCACCCCAACCTGCAGGCATGGCCATATTTGCTCCACGCCCAACATGGCTGCCAAGATCAGACAACCCACCGGCATGACCAATTGACTCCCCATCCAACATGGCTGACAACCAACATGGCCTGAGTGACCAATTCACTGCTCACCCAACATGGCTGCCAACTGACACAGCTGATCAGAGTGGCCAACCCACAAGCCCAACCAACATGGCCACTTGGTTCAGCCAACCCAGTCACAGTCATCCACTAATTCACTCCCACCTCATCCTCCACGTGGCTTTATGGAGAGGCCGAGTATGGCCAGTTCACTCCTCACCCAACATGGCTGCCAACCAACATGGCTTCCACGAGCAGCCAACCTACCAGCATGGCCAATTTGCTCCCCATCCAGGATGGTTCTTGAGAGCCCAGTCCAGACCCCCGGTGCTGATCCAGGACTAAGTAAACCTAGACCGTTCTTTGACAGGTCTTTGACCAACTACGTGGATTCCACAACCCGCCTTGGAAACCATTTCCAGTGCTTAGCTCCCCTTCAAGTTCATAGAATCATAGAATATCAGAGTTGGAAGGGACCTCAAGAGGTCATCTAGTCCAACCCCCTGCTCAAAGCAGGACCAATTCCCAGCTAAATCATCCCAGCCAGGGCTTTGTCAAGCCGGG